AATCGAATATTAGTGTGTTCTTCCAGGAAAACGATCTTACGGCTTTAATGTATAACGATTAATTATTCAGTTATTCATCAGATTTTGACGAAACAGCATTCCTACGTATCTTTTTGTAAACCGAAAATTCTTCCTCTATTTGTCAGAAATAATTGCCAATGTTCTTATGTAACTGTATTCCCTCTGTCTTCAGTGAGATATTTCAGACAAAGAATTAGATCGGACCATAAATTTTCGTGATATCTGGCCACATTCTCCATCGGGATAATCGCATTGTCTGCAGTTAGATCAAGCCAGCATCCTCAAACTATCACTCATTCCTTGTCCCACCATTCTCATGCCTCATTCCGTCTCCGGCTTCGTAACTTCCGTATGTGATGTCAAGCAAATCCTTCAGAACAGAGATTTCCCTGTCTCTCTTTACGTAACAGAAATATTTTCAGGAGGCTTCGTGTCTTAATAGAAGACTCGCGCAATTTTAATTCGACAGTAAAGACAGGCCGTTGTCTGCTCACAGCGCAGTGCCTAATCCAATCTCGAGAGAATACAAGAAAGACATTTGTGGTGGCGGAACGCCACTGGAACAAATAATATTATTTCTGTATAATTTTATTTAGTGCATAAGCAATTGATCAGAAGTCAGGATTAGTGAAGATGGATTGCATGGATAAATGTGCCCATATTAAATTGTGCATTAGTGTGCCGAAGTCAGTGTAATTGTACGACTTATAGATTTGATTGTGCACTAGTGTGCCGAAGTTAGTGTGTGTGCACTAATGTGCCTAATTTAGACTGTGCACTAGTGTGCCGAAGTTAGTGTAATTGTACTGCTTTTAGTTTTAGGGCGTTCATGCTGAGCGCAGGTATTTGCAATTCTGTGTGGTTTTCACACGTGCACACACAGCAGAGGCATATTAAGCTGATTTAATGAGAATGACACAGTCAGGCGGGTAACTTCTGGTTACGACTCTACATGGATATGCCATTTGTCTCCACCATTTTTAAAGTAATGACAAAATTCATAGGTCAATTTGCTTTGTGCGGGCAGGTCGTGAGTGTGTGTGTCGGGAGTGTCGCCATTTCTTTTAAACGCGTTCGTACGGGAGAGTTTGTAGGCAGTCCTAGAGTAGATCTGCGGAACCACTCCGCAGGAAAGGTGAATGTGAGGTTAGGTTAGTGATGTGGTCTGAAGGACGTAACGCGAGATTATTCAAGACGGAAGTGATTTTAAATCCGGCAGGTTTTTACCAATATGTTGTGTTAATTTCAGATTTTCGGTAATGTTAGTCATTCTGGGACATCATGTCCGAGGCAGTGAAGGTTACGCGTAAATTTTTCATTAATTTCCGCTAAAAAAGTGTGATTTTCGTGTGACCGCGATTCTGACCGTCCTCGAAGTGTTTGTGAGTTGGTTTTATGCCATAGTTTTGTTAGATTCTGTGAACGGCTTCGTCAATCCAGTGGAGAATCGGCGTCCATCGGACATCAGAGGAAGACATCGAACCATGGACCAAGGCGGACGGAGCAACGCGCATAGAGTAAAGTTAAGAAGACAAAAACCAGTGTCGGCCGAACCCCTAGTGGTTGAGGACCCATCCGCTGGAGGATGGGCTGGGTGCTCGCGGCAAATCTTGTACGCCATAGCATCGGCACGGTCTT